AAAATCACTTGTTTTGTGCTGAGGTACTAAAAATAAAAAACGGACGAAAATACACATATTTGCGACTCGCAAAGTTCCATATGGCAGACGACGACCTGGATGTTTCATAGTGACTCTTCCAAATACATTTTTTTTATTTATATTACAGGTCCATAGGGTGAGAGGAAACACCACCAAATTGTCAAGATTAATCAGACGATTTTCCTAGGAATTTAGACCGAAAATATTTCCCTGAGGCAAGGTCACGTTTTGATTGCACACACGAATGAAAATGCCTTTAAATTGTCGCTTTCTCGCCACTCAGACACTCGAGTATATTTACCCGCTATAGACTCTTATATAGAATGATATATACTTTTTCAACAAAAAGTTGTTGGTCGAAAATTTGCCGTTTTCCGCCGTTTCTGCTGCTTTCAGACGTTGCACCGCACGCGTTCATTGCTTCAGCGAAACTGCCGACCAGACGACAGAACGCAAAATACAGAAAAGCGGAAAATACAGAAAGACTGGCGACAAATGGCAGCCGAATTTTCCACTGCTACCGAAAGTGCCACTCTCCTCGTCATTTTCTCACTGTCTGTCTCCGCGGGATCGTGAGAGAATCGAATTTATTTTCACATATATCCGAACGTTTTCAAGCGGATACATCGCATATTTTCACGAAAAATCAACAGAGATGTGACAAAAAATATGAATCTGGGGACAACCTTTTTATCTGCGTTTCCAAAATGGGGACTTTAGGGGACCGTGCTGTATATTAATTTTATTTCATTGAGAAATAAGCGACAACAGCAGCAGCGCATTCCTTGATATGCTTTTGTATTGTGTTTTGAAAAAACCCATAAAAATATTTGTGCCAAAATATATGCCGTATGCTTATTGGATATGAAATCTTCCATGTTTGCGGATTCTGTCATCATTTGGGAACTTCTACATATAAGTAGGTCTTGGTCAAACCACTTTCTGAATTATTTGTGAAAATTTCACCTGTTCCGTTCAGTTTCCTGTTGGTTTATATATGTTCCACATGCGTGTGATTCATACGACATGTCTATTGAATGTGGTTTCTGTCACAGATTAGCAAAATAAATAATACACATGTTGTCATTTAAGTAATAATTCGGAATTGTGGTTTTAATGGGATTATGACTTTGGCAACATTATTTAAATGAAAGAAGAAAGATATGATTTACTTCTAGTTTAAATCAAATCCAATTTTGTAAAGGAAGCAACTCAATATTTGTTTTAATGGTAAGACCTAAACTGTTTTTCTTTTATGTTAAAAGAGAGTCAATAGTTATATCATTTTAATATAGGGTTACCCAAAATCCGACATAATCAGATCAAGTGTTTAATTCACAAATTTACATGAAACGTGGGGAATTTGTAAGACAAACAGAAAATAACTATGAAGATTACCAGCTAAAATGGCATTTGATTTAAAACCAAATCACATTCAGTAGATAGGTTAATAAAATTGTTCTACTGACAAAATGGAATTATTTACCTTACTTTCAATCAATTTAAATTATGTGGGTACAGATTATCTGCCTGAATATGCTTTTTAATTACAACGCAAAGGCCGAGCCAAATCTATCTATGCCATTTCCCCTCTGCTTTTGTTAACCCTGAAATCACTTTAAGTCCATGGCCGACCATAATCAAATTTCCGTAGGTGGTGAAGCCGCTGATGTGGTTGCATCGCTTCAAATGATGCAAGTTGAGGTCAGATGTGCAGATGCAGATACAGAGATGCAGAGATACACATGCAGACACATACACCATTCAACCAAAAGCTACGACCGCAACAAAATTTTAATTAATTCATTAAACTTGCACATGGCGCCGCACAGAGCAGCATAGTGCAACCTCAAAAACAAACAGATACAGATTCAAATACAGATGCACTGGGCCCACGCTCTCTAAATATACGCGATCTCTTGGTTATTAACGATCTGTCGCTAAAGGCAGAAATCAAATGAATGTCCTACGGCTTCCGGAAATGCGCAATTTGACGAAGAAAACGTCGCATCCGAGGGGAAAACCTCAAATCGTCGACTGTTTATTTTCGTGGGGCAACAGCAAACGTAAACAACTGCGAGAAAATGTGAGAAAATCAAGTGACTGTGCTTTTGTTTTGCTTGGCAAAGTCAGGGTAAAAAGACAAACAAAGTCAGCCAAATACAAACCAAATTTATGCAGTTCTATCTTGTCATGGCCGGATCCGGATCGTTTTTAGGGACTACCTCGGCCGAACTGCACTCGATGCCCCTTCAATGTGTCAATACCGAGATTTACAGGCTGCTGCCACCACTTGAGATGCATTTCGTCAGATATATAGACATAATATAATTTGATTGCTTCGCCGTATTTATAGATACTTCTTGGCGGAGGAAGTCATCGGTGGATCGGAGGACGTGGGCGAACAAAAGAGGTGAGCGAGTGGGAGCTCATAACTTGAGGGGATTCGAAGTTCTCAATCGCCAACACACACCGAAAAACGAGGTCAACAGCGGAAATATGAAGAAATGCTGTTCTTTAGCATCCACGAATGAAAATCCGGCAAATGAATTGACGGCCAGCGGTTTGTGTTGGGAAAATACCGTCATACAGATATTCCTGAAACGCTTTCATTAAAGCGCAAAAATAACAATAATAATGCAGAACGAGCAAAGAGGAATAAGACGAATGCAAAAAGAAACGACTTGTTTGTACCCTTAACATAGGTTCTTAATTTGTATTCCTTCTAGGAATATATTCAAATTTTACAATCGTTAAAATATAATAAAATATTTTTTGAGCATTCAATTTTAAAACTGCATTTTAATTACTTAAACAGTTTTTTAAAATTTTAATCTGTGAATTTTAAAAAGAGTGTATATATATACATAAGAAAATTATTTAAATTCCATATATTCTAAATACAGTGCGTTAGCAGTTTTGAATAGATTTAAAAATAAAAGAAAAATAAATTATAAAGATTTAAAAACAATGAATCTGTAATGAAGTAATTAATTTAATTAAAATATTTAATTTATATTTATTAAAAAACAAAATACCTCTAATAAAATTAAACATATTTTTAAAAACTTTACTGAACTTGATGTTTTCTTTAAGCCAAAGCCAAGACCTCAATTGTTAATAAAGTAAGGAAAGAATCTGCATTCGGTTTTGCCACCGCCTTTCAAAGAAAATTCTCTTGGCAGCGGTTCAAAATTGTTTGGGTAATGATGCTTGTTGGTTTTGGGGATCCATGGGGGGATTTGGGGCTTGGAGGCAGGTGGCAGGTCCCGAAACGTGCCCTCTTCTTTGGCCGGCAGTGCAGTTTATTTTCACAACCAATGCGACTGAACGGGGAGAAGGCGGCAACAAACAAACACTTGCCACAGGAACGGGAATGGATGCCATGTTGGAGTCTTTGCTATTGACCCAATGGATTATGCAGCCGGGCTCCTCAGCCTCGTCGACCTCGCATGGGAGAATGCCCCAAAAACAGGCAACAAATTACAACTGCACGAGGAGCAGGAAGTCGAAGTATAATAGTGTTGAAATACAGAAGGACTTCCTTTAACTTAACTTCCCTTACTTAAGGTACCAGACCAGTTATATACTATATAAAGGCATTTAAACTAGAATAATACATACAGTCAAGTATCAAAGTTATACGACTACTCAAGAATTAAACAAGAATTATGTCTTTAAATTTACAAACTATATTTACTCGAGGCCTTTCAAGTTGTCCATGCAAAGCCGTACAGTAAACCAACGATAATTACTTGGGGACGATCAGCTAGGTAATTAAATTATTTACATTTACTATAAATACAGTAGTTCTATAGATTTTTTTTTTAATCAGTCATTTTTTTTCAAAGTCTGTAGTACTATAAGGTTAATACTTCGAAAGAGTTTGACTTAAGGAGGTTGGACTGTAACTGCCATAATGGGGATGTCTATAGATGCCTCTACTTGGATGACGCATCGCAGGGCGGTGGGGGGTTCATTTTCCGATGCCACTGAACCTTTGGCGAGACCAATAGTTATTCGAATGCCTGAGTCATTTTCTAGCCAAGCTGTCTGTGGGGTTTTATCGCTGCTTCTTTTAAACTCACCTTCAGCTGCGTTTCGTTTTAACAAACATTTGTTGCTCCGTTTGTTGTTGTTCGTTTTCGTTCGTAGAGCAAAAATAGATTAGTGAGTAATAGCGGATTTTTCTTCACTTTCGTTGCTTTGATGACTGTTTCACTCTTATTATTATATACACAACTAGTTATATACCAAAAAGAGCATACTTTTTACTATTTATTGCCCGATTTTCTGTGTTTGGCCGATGCAAACTGCACTCACATATATACCGATATACTTGTTTACTTTAGCGCCGACTTTGTGATGTTGGAGTCAATCGAAAAAAGCACTTTGTAGTTTTACCAGGTGTACTGTTTAAGCACTATTAACAACAATTCCCATGGCAAACATAAATAAAACACAGCGCACGACCAAAATAGAAACCTAGAAAACCAGGGCTGCACTCGCCCACAGCTAAATTAGGGATGTGTACGTGCCAACAGGTCTGTGCCATCGATGGTGCTATCGAAGAGAACGTTAAAAACGATGACTTTTAATCGATAGTTTTCGTTTTCTTAATAATATATTTTTGATATATATTTGGGGTATTCCCTAAAAGTTTGAACAAATTTTAACTGCTGAATTGTTTTTGGACTTACTCTATCGGTTATTACTAGAACTATAAATATGCTTAAAATATCTGAAAACATACTCCCTAAGTCAATTACTAAACGTCAAGGATAAAAATAGATAGCCAGCTTAGCAATGCATTAGCATCCTCTATGGTAACTTTTGACTTTCTGAAATATATAAAATAATAGGTGTCAAGCTGCAATAATGACATAACATTATTTGAGATAATAATTGAGATAATAGAATTTTTTAAAGTTTTATTTTTCTTGAGTCGCCAGTCGAAAAATGGAAAATAAGAGACAAGATTTTTATTTTTTTCAACATGATTTATTTGTGTTTCATCAAGTTTTCTGTATTTACCATAGTTTGGGAATTTTGTTAACAAAATGAATGTGCAAAACTATATAAAATGACCGTTTTACAATGGTAATAATTTCTATTATTGTATTACAATTGTTAATTTGCTATTTCATCTGCCTGGCAAATGAATAACATCTTTTTACTACATATATTATCGTTCAATCCGTTAAACGATGTAGAGCCAAACATCTGAACGCAATCCTCATCGCCAGCACTATCGGGTTGGCTTCTCAACCAATTCAAATAAGGTGCTGGCTCTCCTGAGGCCGATGATACGAAGACGCCTTCTTCAGCTTGATCGTTGATGCCAATCCAGTATAAATCAAAGCCCGGGAGTTTGTTTCGGACGGCGTTATATTCTTCTAAGTTTTCGAACGCCGCAAGATGACCTCCATTTTCTTGGCAGAAGCTTTCAGCTTCGTACCAATTTAATTCATTACTGCGCTCGATATAGAAAAGTCTTGACCCAATCTTTTCGAAGCTGATCGGGGCGATTGTTGTGGAAAGCTCTGAAGCTATATTCTTAACAGATTTCTGCTCTCGGGAGTTAAAATTACCCATCCACACAAGTGGGCCTTCGGTTAGATTATCGTCCAAGGGTTTTGCCTGGGATGCACATGCATTCCAAACAATTAATGCGAACGCGAACCAAAAGAAAGTGTTTAGTTTATACATGTTGAGCTGAACTAATTCCGAAACTAGAATTGGACCGCCTTTTAAAGGGCCCAGCAGCAAAGACAACTCGTATTTGGAATTTAATCTGTAGTTGAAATGTGATAATGCACAGATTCGGAGAATAACCGCTTTAATGGGCTAATTATGAGCGATGACTTGCGGATTTCGGCTGAAAAATAACACAAAACATTTTTAAATTTTATAAATATTCTAACCTTTGACTCAATTTAAAATAATACAAATATGAAATATTTTAAAATGATTGTGAATGTGTTTATTTTCTAGTTTAAACAAGAAGTTTGCTTAAACTAGATCCATGGAGCATGGATGTCGATTTTTTGCATTTGACTGAAATTATAAAATAATACGTATAAAAATAATTAATTAATTAATTGTATATTTCAATTGTAGATAATTACAGTCTTTTGATTTTTTTATTTGTATACCCTTGCAAAATAGATCTAGCTTCATTGTTTTTAAGCATCGAAATCGAAATATAGAATATTTTATTTTTGTAACATCTACAAAGGTATATAAACTTTGGCTTGCCAACATTTTCTTCCTTTTTTGGTATAAATAATTTCTCCTGCTACCTTATATTTAAATAACAAGGTGAAAAAAAGTAGGTATCTTCGAGACAATCTTTTTAAGGGCCCGGCAGCAAAGAAGGAAAAGAATAATCAAAGTGTTTGAACTTTTTATTTTTAGTAAAATTATAATGCCCAATTTTAAAGTACCAGTTTAGATTGCCTTCATTCTAAGCGATGATCTTTTGGACAGCTTTGATAAGCGAGCTATATTATGCTATAATGTATTTTATGTATGTAATATATATTTGTTTTTTCTTGCGTCGCCAATCGAAAAATGTAAAAAGAAGCCAACATTTTGATTTTTTTCACCATGTTTTATTTGTGTGCAGGTATTACCCGAGTTTACTGTATTGCTAATTTTAGGAATCTTGATAAAAAATGAAATTTTTGAAGGAAGTATAAAATGATTGGTTGGTGAATAAATCAAAAGAAAATTGTAGTGCTCTGGGATTTTAAATTCGAATTTTATTAATTTTGGTTATTACATTTAAATTGTTAATATTGTATTTTTTCATCTGCCTGGCAAATAAATAACATCTTTTTACTACATATATTATCGTTCATTCCATCAAGATAGCCGTAAATCTGAACGCAATCCTCATCGCCGGCACTATCGGGTTGGTTTCTGTACCATTTCAAAAAAGGTGCTGGCTCTCCTGAGGTCGATGTTACGAAGACGCCTTCTTCGGCTTCATCATTGATGCCAATCCAGTATAAACCAAAGTACCGGATTTTCGCTCGGACGGCCTGATATTCTTCAAAGTTTTCGAATGCCGCAAGATGACCTCCATTATCTTGGCAGAAGCTTTCAGCTTCGTACCAATTTAATTCATTACTGGGCTCGATATAGAAAAGTCTCGAACCAATTTTTTCGAAGCTGATCGGGGTGGTTGATGTGGAAAGCTCTTCCTCTTCGTCCTCGTTTGGAATATTTATTTTCTGCTCTACTTCCTTTGTAATTTCCTTCACACTTTCTTCCCGCTCTTCCTGATGGCCGTCGTAGTCGCCTGAATACTCTATTTCGTCTTCCTGCTCATCCCGCTCCTCCACTCTTGCTCTTGTGCTTCCATCTTGGTCTGGCTGTCTTTGGGTGGTTGATGTGGAAAGCTCTACTCCTTCGTCTTCCATCTGGAAACCGTCCACGAGTTCTATATTCTGCTCTACTTCTTGGTCTTTCATCTGCTTATCTTCGGAATCTTTGGACACTTCCTTTGTAATTTCCTTCACCCTTTTTTCCCGCTCTTCCTGATCGTCGGCGTAATTGTCTGAATTTTTTATTTTATGCTCTACTTCTTCGTCTTCCCGCTCCTGAGGCACCTGCGCCTCAATCTTGGTCTGGGAGACTTTCTCATGCTTTTCCATCCTGTCAACTATGTATGTATGCAGGTCGTCCATCTTGTTCATAAAGGTTTTTATTCGGTATTCCATCTTTTTCTGTTTTTCTTGAGCAACTTCTGACATTTTCTTGGCCACTTCTTGCTGAATTTTAAATTTTTCCCACTCGTGGTCCTGTGCTTCCATCTTAGTCTGGCTGTCTTTCTGCTGTTTTTCAAACCTATCTAGTAAGGATGCCGTCAGGTCCTCTATCTTCTTCATACCATTTTCCTTTAGAGAATTCAGCCCTTCCTTCAGATAACTCAGCGTATCCTGTTGAGTTGCCAATTCCTTCTGGATGTCCTCCTGCTGAGCTTGCAACCTGCCAAGTTTCTCCTTGAAGTCCTCTATATCGATTTTTTTAACAGATTTTTGGTCTCGCGAATTAGAAATACCCATCCACCCAAGTGGGCTTTCGGCTCGGATATCGTCCAAGGATTTAGCCTGGGATGCACATGCATCCCAAACAATTAATGCGAACGCGAACCAAAAGAAAGTGTTTAGTTTAAACATGTTGAGCTGAACTAATTCCGAAACTAGAATTGGGCCGCCTTTTAAAGGGCCCAGCAGAAAAGACAACTCGTATTTATAATTTAATCAATAGTTGAAATATGATAATGCAGAGATTAGGAGAATCCACGCTTTAATGGGTTCATTATGAGCGATGACTCGGCTGAAAAATAACACAAAACATTTTTAAATTTGATTAATATTACTTTTATTGAGTTCTAGCCTTTGAACCTGTTGAAAATAATCGTAAATGATTGTGAATGTGTTTATTTTCTAGTTTAAAGCAATGCCCTTTTTTTTGCATTGCCAACTTTTGACTGGAATTATAAAATAATAAGTATACAAATATTTAATTAATTTGGCTTGTTTGTTTTGAATTTATTAATGGATTGTATATTTCAATTGTGTATAATTACATTTTACATTTCTTTTTTGTAAAGATTTTTTGTTATCTTTGTTATCCCTTGCAAATAGACATAGCTTCATTGCCTTTAAGCTTCGAAATCGAAATATAAAAATTTTACATTTTTTAACAGCGTCAAGGGTATATAAACTTTTCTTCCTTTCTTGGTATAATTTCTCCTGCTGCCTTATATTTAAATATACACGTACCTATTTATTATAGAAAACTACATGTTATAATTTTAAAGAAAATCCAACAAAATCACCTCTTAGCAAGGTGAAAAAAAGTATCTTCGAGACAATCTTTTTAAGGGCCCGGCAGCAAAGAAGGAAAAGATTAATCAAAGTTTTTGAACTTTTTATTTTTATTAAAGTTATTATAATACGCAATTTCAAAGTACCAGTTTAAATGGCCTTCTTTCTAAGCGATGATCTTTCGGACAGCTTTGATAAGCGAGCTACATTATGCTATAATGTATTTTATGTATGTAATATATATGTATTTGGGGTACTTCCCTGTTTCTAAATCGTGGAAAATTTAACAGAAATTTTAGCATGTGCGTAAATTGTACCTGTTGTATCGTTTTGGGGCTCAAAATCATGTTTAGCTCTATTTTTCTTTGTCAGTTATTATTAAACCTACTTCTAGATTATGCTTTAAGCAACTGATTATATACCATATTTGATTTCATGGCAAGGATTTAAAAAAAAATAATAATACACAAAATTTAATATAACGATAGCAATAATATTTTTTGGAGTGTTTTTTCTTGCGTCGCCAATCGAAAAACATTTTGATTTTTTCACCTTGTTTTATTTGTGCGCAGGTATTACCTCGAGTTTACTGTATTGCTAATTTTAGGAATTTGGTTAAAAAATTAAATTTTTAAGGGAAATATAAAATGATTGTTCTTGAATAAATCAAAAGAAAATTGTAGTGTTGTGGGATTTTAAATTTAAGATGGTTTTAGAATTTTATTAATTTTTATTATTGCATTTAAATTGTTAATATTGTATTTTTTCATCTGCCTGGCAAATGAATAACATCTTTTTACTACATATATTATCGTTCAATCCGTTAAACGATGTAGAGCCAAACATCTGAACGCAATCCTCATCGCCGGCACTATCGGGTTGGTTTCTCAACCAATTCAAATAAGGTGCTGGCTCTCCTGAGGCCGATGATACGAAGACCCCTTCTTCGGCTTGATCGTTGATGCCAATCCAGTATAAATCAAAGCCCGGGATTTTCGCTCGGACGGCGTTATATTCCGCTAAGTTTTCGAATGCCGCAAGATGACCTCCTCTTTCTTGGCAGAAGCTTTCAGCTTCGAACCAATTTAATTTATTAGTGCGCTCGATATAGAAAAGTCTCGACCCAATCTTTTCGAAACGGTTCGGGGTGGAAAGCTCTTCGGAATCTTCTGGCACTTCCTTTGAAATTTCGTAATCGTCTGGAAATTCTATTTTCGGCTGGCTTATCAATTGCACCTGCGCCTCAGTCTTGGTCTGGCGGTCTTTCTCATGTTTTTCCATCCTGTCAACTAAGGATGTATGCAGACCCTCCATCTTGTTCATAAAGGTTTCCATTCGGTCTTCCATCTTTTTCTGTTTTTCCTGAATATCTTCTGACATTTCCTTTGCCACTTCCTGCTGAATTTTTAATTTGTCCCACTCTTGCTCTTGTGCTTCCATCTTGGTCTGGCTGTCTTTCTGCTGTTTTTCCATCCTTTCTAGTAAGGATACCGTCAGGTCCTCTATCTTCTTCATACCATTTTCCATCAGAGAATTCTGCTCTTTCTTCAGATAATTTAGCGAATCCTGTTGAATTGCCAAAATCTTCTGAATGTCCTTCTGCTGAGCTTGCAACCTGCCAAGTTTCTCCTTGAATTCCTCTATAGCGATTTTCTTGACAGATTTCTGGTCTCGGGAATTAGAAATACCCATCCACCCAAGTGGGCCTTCGGCTCGGATATCGTCCAAGGATTTAGCCTGGGATGCACATGCATTCCAAACAATTAATGCGATCGCAAACCAAAAGCAAGTGTTTAGCTTAAACATCCTGAGCTGAACTAATTTCGAAGCTAGATTTGGGCCGTCTTTTAAAGAGCCCATACATATATAAATATATATTTGAAATGTGATAATGCAGAGATTCGGAGAATCCCAGCTCATTATCAGCGATGACATTTTTAAATTTTATAAGTATTATCTTTATTGCATTCTAACCTTTGAACCTATTGAAAATAATCGCAATATAAAATATTTTCAAATGATTGTTTATTTGGGATTTTCTACTTTAAACAAGGAAAAAGTAAACAAGGTCGATGATGCAAGGTCAATATTTTGAACTGCTTTGCAAACTTCAAACTAAAATTATAATATAATAGATATACAAATATTTAATTAATTTAATTAATTACATTTTTCTTGTTTTTTTGTTAAGATTATTTGTTATATTATAAATCGAAATTTTTTATCTTTATACCCTTTATACCCAATTTCAATCAAAAGTTTGCAACGCAGTGCAAAAAAAACCAGCTTCATTGCTTTTAACTTAAAAGTTTTACGCATTGAAATAGGCAATATTTAATTTTTTGCTAAAGTTTTTTTCCTTTCTTGCTATAACAAATTTCTCTTGCTGCTTTATATTTACATATATGTACATATACATTCTTATATAAAACTACATTTTATAATTTTGATATAAATAAAACCAAATAACCTCTTAACAAAGTAAAAAAAATCATCATTTTCGCAACCATCTTTTTAAAAGCCCAGCAGCAAAGAGTAAAATGATTATTCAAGGTTTTTGAACATTTTTATTTGAAATATTATATCGCGCAGTTTTAGAGTACCAGTTTTAATGGCCTTCATTCGGTGCGATGATCTTTCGGCAGAAAAGATTAAACAAGCTACTTATGTATATTAATTTTTAATTTGTATTTAAAAAGTGATATTGCACAGATTCTGAGAATAATTTCAGCAACATTCCGAGAGACAGTAATCGATTTCCGAGGAGAGAAAAATATGAATACACAAAAAAATAGGTAAGGAAAGAAATAATTTATTACACAAAATAAATGACGACCTTGGGAAAATAATAATAATGGTTATTATTCTGGTTATTTCCAGTTTACTAAGTTGGTAATTTTGCATTTATAATCCCACTTATGAAATGAAATTTGTTAGTATTTTGTTAAAAATACATTTTCTTTTATTTGTTTATTTAAATATATTCAAATGTGGCAGGGAATTAATTAAGACAAGATGACTTCCCACTATATCCGATATCTATGGTTGCGCATCTCTATCACAGCATTTTACACGTAGTGTTGTCAAACGCCGTAATTTCATTCCTGCCACCGCACACGTGTTTTAATATCATCGCACGTTTAATTTTCATTTCTGCGCGAAATACTCACAGCTAAAATGGCCGAAGTAGCTAAAACCCCGAGCGTGGATGTCCAGGAAGAGGAGGCGCAGGCCGCCGAGGTTGCGGACGCCAAGAATGGCGACGCCAAGGAGGAACAACCGGCTCCGGCGGCTGAGGAATCGGAATCCGGCGGCGACTTCTCCAAACAAGAGCGCGCCATAATCCGGCAAGTGGAGTATTATTTTGGCGATGCCAATCTCAATCGGGATAAATTCCTGCGCGAGCAGATCGGCAAGAACGAGGACGGCTGGGTTCCACTATCCGTGCTGATTACCTTCAAGCGTTTGGCTGCCTTGTCCACGGATCTTGCAGAAATTGTGGCCGCCCTCAACAAATCCGAAGAGGGCCTCGTGGAGATCAGCGAGGACAAACTCAGCCTGCGTCGCCACCCGGAGCGTCCCATCCCAGAGCACAATGAGGAGCGGCGCAAGGAGATCCAGGAACGCACCGCCTACGCCAAGGGCTTCCCCCTCGATTCCCAGATGAGCGAGCTCCTCGATTTTGCCGCCAGCCATGACAAAGTGGTCAACCTGACCATGCGCAAACATTACGACAAGCCTACCAAGTCGTACAAGTTCAAGGGCAGCATCTTCCTCACCTTCGAGACCAAGGAGCAGGCCAAGACCTTCCTCGAGCTGGAGAAGATCGCCTACAAGGAGCGCGAGCTCCTGCGCAAGTGGCAGGTGGATTATCTCAAGGAGAAGCAGGAGGAATACGCCCAGAAGAATGAGAAGCGGAAGAACAAGAAAGAGGCTAAACCGGAGCCGGCCTTCGAGCTGCCCAAGAACGCCATTGTGGTCTTTGAGGGTGCCCCCGAGACTTCAAGCCGCGAGGAGATCCGCGAGGCCTTCGAGAAAATCAAGGACTTCGAGGTGGCCTACATCGAGTTCGCCAAGGGCGAAACTAAAGGCTCCGTGCGTCTGACCCAGGCGGATGCGGCCGAGAAGTACATCGCCAAAGTGGAGGAGGGCAAGGTGAGATTCACAACTACAACAGTCACGTTGAAAAAGAAAATTTAAACAGTCATGGAATGTGGTCAGTCATCTAATAATGTCCGTTCTCGTCAAGCCGATGATATGGTACAGCGATAGAGAAAAGTCAGTCGTTAGAACTTTGTTGCCATCATCCTAACTTCTTCAAAAGCTCTAGTTTTCATGGTTTAAGTTTCCAAATTCCAAATAATTTACAAATTTTATTCGAAGGGTCAATAAGTCAAACTTGTTTCAATGTCCTCTATATCTATTTGATGGTGGTAGCGCAAATAGTTATAGAAACAAATTCACTAAAAAACATGTAATTATTTTTTCCTGGTTAAAAGCTGGCTTCTTTTATATATGGTAAAGAAATTTAAAGTGAGACAAGCTAAGTTTTTATATAGGTAGTTAAAATTAAACTTTAGTAGCTTTTCAGGAATATTTATTTTCATAGATAGCTTTTCAGGACTACATTTCACATTATTTTTCCTCTAAAAGTTGAACATGCTGAAAACAAGTCGGTCTACATTCTTTTCATGTGTATGGTTTGTCGTGCAATAAATGCTATTATCTGCCTAAAATAAATATATAAGAATAAACTCGTTTTAAAAATGTAAACTAACTAATCTATAATGGTTGATTTTGCCATCCACAGCTCAAGTTCAACGATGAGGTCTCTCTGACGCTGCGGAAGGCCACAGAGGAGGAGGAGAAGGAGTTTATCGACAAGGCCATCGAATTCATGAAGAAGCGTCGCGATTTCACCCGCAACAAGGGAAAGCGTTTCAACCGCAAACGCCACGGCGGAAACGACCACAAACACGGGCATAAGAAGTCGCGTGGAGATTAACTCTTCCGCCACCCGAGTCCCTTCATGGCAGTAGACCAAGCTTAACTGTTACTCGGTAGATCTAGTTGACCTAGCTTTAAGCTCTTACTTATATAACATATGCTTTCTTGTAGTTTGCGAAAATAATCGTAAGAGATACAGAATATTCTCCAAAAAATATGTATAGTCTGTTACATAGATAACGAGATGAACTCTAATTTATTTTACATAGAAGACTACGAATCCATTTGTTTCTTTAAACAGAAAGCTAAAAATAAAGATCAGTTTGTAAAACCCGAAGTTACTACACTTGTAAAATTTCTTTCATTAGTTTGTATTCTTTTATTATTGCTGTTTTGTGTGTTTTCGATCTCTTTGTGTGTTCGTGTGTGTGTTAAAGTATTGCAAACGAATTTAACTTAAAATCATAAAATTTAATATTACAAGTACTTAAATGCATTTACAATTACAGAGAAAAGAAACAATAATTTCAAAAATGGTTTAGAAAAACTATAGTAGCAGTTACAAATAGATAATATAATGATTTTGTTATTGGTTTGCTTTGCATCATCAGATTGTACAATTATAAAGAGTCGCTTACAAAATAGACGCACTTAGAGGAGATTTAAAACTAAACGAATTAACTAAATAGTTTGGGTTGCATTGCAACACCGACTAAAATTAAATTAGGCTATCATGTAGTTCTTGCGTTATACATTGACGTTGTAGTTAATGGGGAGAACAAAACGAAAACTTCACATGGTAAACAAAAATCTGCGCAAGCACAAAAGTTTCACAACATTTTCGATTAACTATTTTCAACAACCGAAATTATTTCTCTGAACTGCGAATATGGATGTATTCTTTAAGATACTTCGCTCATGCTAAATCGAGAGCAAGAGCCGGGGGATACAACTAAGATCGAATATATGTGCACTTGATATACGCGGATACAAGAGTTATGATTACGTGTACTTAATCAACATTTACGCATAAATTAAACAGTTATAAACAACGGCATCGTATTGCGATAATATAATGTATAGCGACGTGTAAGTTATCTTCTTTATAAATAGTATGTGGTGGGGTGCGCTCAAGCGGATCTCTCTGTAGCCGGCAGAAAATGTACAAAGCTTCAGCCAGGAATTCTCGGTATTCTCTTTCGCTTATTTACTAGACTAACACGATTTACAAACGAGGCTCCTTGAGGCTCTATCCTTTAATGTTTACAACAGTCGATCTAATCCATACATATGTAAATAGCTAATTATTCAAGTGCGTTTCGAAGGCCCTGCAACAGTCACGTAGAAATTGAAAATACAAACAGTTCTGGAATGTGGTCAGTAATCAAATAAGGTCCGTACGCGTTAATAAGTCATTTAAAGTCATCAAGTCAATGATATCAAGTATAGCGTTAGAGCAAAGTCAGTCGTTAGAACTCTGTTGCCATCATTCTACGGTCTTCAAACGCACTGCAGTGTGATCCTTTCCGACCCGATTACCCGCCTACTTCCAGACGGGCGTCAGATCCAGGGTGAGATTCTGAATGGTGCGGTTCCGGGCAGAGCTGCGCTTCTGCTTCACGGAGCTGGTGATCTCGTTGACCAATCCCTGGCAGTCGTTGCACACGGTTACCTGCTCGCCCCGCAGGTTCTCCTTCTGCTCCTGCGTCTGGGCCAGATGGCTGCCCGAGGAGAACAGGTTGAAGCCCCTCGAGAACCGGGATCTGAAAGAGGAATTTTAGGTTATAAATAATGTTTTCAATTAATTTTTATTTGGTAAATTCAATAGATAATTAAAAGATATTTTCGCCTAATAAATAATAAAAAAATAAAAAATAAATTCGGTTTAACCATTTTTGAGTTTATATGAACTTTACTTCGATAATTTAGTTTTGAAAAAATGCTGGATGACCGTATAAGCCGTACTTCTCTAAGAGTTAGACAATTTAAAAATTTTTGAACCGTGTTCTACACATATTTCAATCCAAAATAAAATAAAATAAAACATAGAATTGGCAAAACTCCTGCGATATTTCATGAATTTGAAACTGGATCGAATTAACTTATTTAAAGTGTAAAAGTTCCGAAACTCACTTCCTCTCCAGCGTGCTGTTGTTGGAGAGCGGTCGATATGCTGGGCTGTGCACGGGCAGACTCCGGGGTCCCTCCATGCTCCGGGACATGGCGTTGTTGTTGTAGTGCTGCTTCTGGTGCTGATGAACGCCCGAGGGTCGCATGGCCGCGGAATAGGAGGCCGACATGGCCGCCTGGTCGTGCAGCGCCTCCACAGCCTGGCCAGTGGCGGCGGCGGAGGAGGAGGATGCTCCGGGTCCTACGCTAATGCCCGGCGTGCTCATGTTTGATCTTTGGTGTTTGGGTGAGGATGGGGCACTGCCCACAGTGCTGCGAGTCTGAAACAAAGAGACTATTAGTAATGGTCAAAAAGAAGGCAATAGGGCAAAGGATACCTTTCGATCTGACTCGGAGCGCAGGAGACGCTCGATCAGCGACTTAGGGAACTGGTCATCCATTATGTTCCCCGTCGACGACGAGTGCGCCTGCTGGGCGTGATGGGAGGGTGATGGGGTGCTCGAGCTGGCCGGACTGGACAGCAGCGATGGCGAGATCAGCACGAGTGGCACATTGCGGAAGTGCTCCGAGGGAATGCGCATCTGCGAATGGGCATACCAAAATGTTAAATAATTATTTAAAAGCCCGAAGGCCCGAATTAGGTGACCCACCTTGGTGTAGCACTTGGCGCAGACGGTGCGCTGGCACAGCTTGCACTGGATGCCCCAGGGACCGAAGAACGAGAAGCGGGTGCGCAGGCACAGGAAGCAGACGCGACGCTTTTCAACATCCTCCTTGACGCGCACGTCCATTGGCAGGCCCTCCAGCTCCGCCTTGGTCATGACGGAACGAATGTGAACGATCTCCGCCAGAGTGACGGACAGGCGATCGTCCCCCCGTTCCATCCAGGTCTGCTTGTCCATGAAGGACTTGTTCCATGGCCCAAGCGAGGATGTTGAATTGGCCTCGTCTGAGGGATGGGTCGGCTCCGCAGGACTTCTCCTGGGCGTCTGCGAAGGATTTGTGAATATTACAATAGGGTTTGATTTATTGCAATTATTTAAATTTAGAAATTATATTTAAGATTAAAGTGTCTTCGTGATAAAAATAGTAAAAAAATAAGTACTAATTAATTTAATATCAGTTAACAACAATAATATAATATAACCTTCCTATGGATTTCAGATAAAGAAAGATATCTTGGCATCCACGAATTTGTATTAATAAATTTACAAAGAAAAAACACATGATTTATTTAGGGGACATTTAAATACTGAAGCATATTTTGCCATAAAAAATATGAATAATACAAAAGCGAAGGGCGGAAAGTCAGATATGTGTGTTCACATTAACTAAAGGATAAAAGTTATGAGGACCTATTCCGCATAGAATTCCCGTTATTCTATAGGGGGACTCACCTCCTTATTGACATCGTCCGATTGACGCGACTCGGGCCGCGTGGGCGGCATGGAGTGCGTCTCGTCCAGGTTGCTCTGGCATCCCACGATGGTGTGGCGGCGCAGGGAAGCCCGCCTCGACTCGCACTGAGTGGCCAGGTCGTAGGCTGTCAATGAAAAGGTTGAGAAGACAGTTAGTCAGGGCCAACAGGGCGGATAAGTTATTTCCATATGCGAGTACGAGGACAGTGAAGGAAATGGAAGTGGGGAAAGTGGCAAATGTTAAATGTCAGATGTTTTATTTTAAAAGCAAGCTGTGTATATGTGTGGTGTATGCTTCTATGGCTGCTTGTCTAAATGCAATTGCGAGATCCAATATATGGGGGACAATCATGCAAGATGGCAATGCATTATAAATTTCGTTTGTTTTTTTCTTAGCAAATATTTACATTCCAGGGCCGTGTCGTAGAACCTGTGGTACTCGTCCTCCGTGAAGGATGGCTCTTCTGGAGGCGCCGTCTGCCTTGCTGGCTCCACTAATCGGGTTTCATTTTAATTTCAGGCAGCAGTTAATTTTGTTCGTTTTTTTTTTATTGATTTTTTGTAAGCGTAATTTGTTGGCAAAGTTGAAAATACATTATTTTTATACGAATAATGGCAACCAAAAATATTGAGTTTGTACCAAAGGAAAAGCTACTTGGGGGTGCCATACAAAATAATACTAAGGGGAAAATTGCAGTAGACTTTCGTTTATTTCTACGTTTACTTGTTGTTTTTGTTTTTACAAAATATTTCGAGATTATTTGTTGTATATTTGTGTGGCTCATTGTGTGTGCTTGAGTGCCTCCTCAACCGATCGCCAATCTTTAATTTCTATTTGTTATTTCAGCCCACACCAAACTTTCTTTTTGACTGGTTTTTTGTTCTTAGTGCGAGTTTTTAGGTTACAATTCATTCACTCGATTTTGTTATTTCTTCGCTTGCGTCATACAAAATCATAAATATTAATTAATCGATATAAGTTAGCAGTGTGTTCACAGAAAAACGATCAAATACCTTGACAAAATTAAGTTTGTGTTTAATTTTTTGTTTGTTGTGGAAGGAAAGGAAAAAAGTAAGAAATAAAAATAATATAAATTAAAATGATAAAAACTAAAACCATATCACAGACAGTTAGTTGCATTACCGTAAGACATATAATTAAATTACAAAGTTACAGAATTTTATTATGTTTGTCTTTTGGTTTTTTAACTTTCTGTCTGCAATTAAAAACCAAAATATATTGTAGAGAGACTTAAGGCAATGGCTTGGCCATGGCATTTAAGATAGAGCATAAAGTAAACCGGTTTTTTTAAATAAAACATAGTTTTTTTATAGAAAAGTAAGCGTTAAGTAAACTTTGGCAAGTGCTTAATAAATTAGCGGACGACTTATTTAATTGTATAAATAGGAGAAAGCTGTACAAAATCTATTTGAAATCTAATATTAAAAATGGCTGTGTTTGCTGTTATTAAAGTCATTAGTATGCTATTAATTTTAGATTTATTTTATAATTAATAATCAAATTTGTATATGGTTTTTTAAATCTATAAAAATAATTTAGCTGTGAGATTTCTTTTTTTATGAATACCTTAAAATATATTACTTGTAAAGATTAGCAAACCAAAACCATAAGACTAGTTGCTTAGCCAAACAATGCTAGATCTTGAACCTTCTCGAATTACAAACAAATCGAAACCGCCCATGTACTTTGTGCTCTAGTGGCGTGTGCTCCCAAAGTGCCCGTGTGGGTTATAGATACATAAATATATATTATATATAAAGAATATTGCGTAATACCCTGGTAGAATCGGATACTCACTTGTGCGTCGGGGTCGCATCAGCGACGCCGTCTCCCGGCAATCTTGTCGTGCCTGGCTGGGCACCATGTAGCCACCGAATGGATATGGCGGCATCTTGGGCTGCGAGCAGCGGTGCATCTCGGAAAGGTGAGGATGATGATGGTGGTGGTGCTGGTGGGTGGCCGCTGTGGAGTGGGAGCTGCTGATGCTAGACTCATCGTAGAAGAGATCTTCGTCCTGAAAAATGTTACGCAAATTAATGGGACTTCCTTGAGGGTTATTAAATGCCATGACACCCACCTGAAACTTGGAGAAATCCACTTTGATGAGCCGCTGTCTGGATCGTGACAGCGTGGAGTTTGCACTTGGAAGCACTGCAAGAAAAACAGATCGGTGTAACAATAAGTCCTCGTCTCTCAGGCGAAAGTGGTGGGAAAAATGCGCTTGATTGGATTATCTAATGAATATCATTGGGCAATGGAGCAGGCATCTCTGGATAACTCGTAATGAAACCGGATTTTTGAGCCCTTTTTGCCCGCTCATTGCGCAATTAGAGTTGACATGTCGGGGTTCTCGCTTCCACCGAAGTTGAAAGAAGTCATTGTTTTTTTTTGTTGTTTTGTAGTTAGCTACTCCATAAAAGCCGTTAAGCCTAACGCACTTAATGGTTCTACTTATGAAACCCACTCCGCTTGTGCAACGCCTGGGAACTTGTATCTGCAGCGGAAGAGTTCGCTTCGCCTTTGTGCAAGTCGGAGGTACTTGATGGGTTTACGGCCCCTGTAATAACTGCTACGTGATCCGACTGGCCATTGACTACTGACCACCGGCGGCTAGAAATTATCCACTAACTTTAACCTTTTTGCTCGGGGGCGAGCACGAATGCTTCCATCGATATGCTTTGTCTTGGTTTTTGACATAGAAAAGATTAATTAGCTACGGAGTGGGACATATTTAGATCACATGAAAATTGCTTTAAATCATTAATAAAAAGACTATTGAATAAAGTGAATTATGTAATAAAAAGTTACATTTTAAATTTTAAGATATTTACTACATTTTAATGAATATTAGAATAAACATAAACATTAAGCATAACAATTATTTAAATATATTGAAAATGATAACAACAAAAAGGAAAACATTTTGTCAATTTTAAAAATTTGTACTCCCTTATAAAATACTCAATGAAGGAAATTAATATTTTATTTATTTTTTTAGCATTTCAGCATTTGATAAGGTTAAGAAACCAATCTTTATAATAGTACTGGCTCCAGTTAAAATTTAAAAAAAAGTATATAATCCATTAATTTTTTTTTTAATTGAAGATGTTTTCACTTTCAAAGGAACCATTTTAAATTTATAGCAGTTCTTATTAATTTTCCATTTTGCTCAATATAAATAAAACTTCAACCACTTATTTTCCACATGCCATTCCATATGTTGGCTGGCAACAAAGAGTATTAACTTTTCGTCACCTCTAACACTCTTTCTTGGCCATATTTCTTCATGCCTCTAATGACTGGAGCTTAAAATCGAAGTCATATCATGACGGCAATTACCGCAGTTGCCTCGGAGTAGCTCCTTGAACACAAAACACTGCCTTGGGGAAGAAGTCTACGAGCCCCCACCCACTTTGCCCACTTTGGGGCAGACCTGAAATCGAAACCAGGTCAAAGCGGAGCACATTCAACAATGGGGAAACACTTTTGTGTACTTTTCGAGGGACGGGGGTCTGGGATGCTGATGACTACCTTTTGATGACTTGATGGCCTGTCGTGGCTTGGGAGTTGGCGGATTATTGGAGGCCGATGCTCTCGGCGCCGCCCGAGGCGTTGGCTGTGGCTGCTCGAGATCCTGGTCGGGAATGGGATTGGTATTGGTGTTGGTGTTGCTATTGGTATTGGGAGTGGTGGTGGTGGCCTGACCGGACTCGCCATCGGAGCCGCAGTACAGGGAGGCATCGCTGCCAATGTCCACCAGATCCGACTCCCTTGGCATGTGATGCGACCGGAAGACGGAGGCCGCCGTGGAGCGTTTCGCTGAGCGGGCATCCATGGGTTAAGCCTGGCACATTTCCCTTTGGCTTTTCACTTTTCGCTTTTCTCACACGGTTGCATGGGGGATTCGGATCGATACCGAATCCGGAAAAAAGGGAAGCCACCCCTCTGGGTCACTGTTCTCTCGTTTTTTAGAGAGGGTTGATAAGATTCTGACCACCCTGCGGCTCCATTAAATGCGGTTTCGCTTTTTGGGCCAAATGATTTGGTGGCTCTTGTTGTACTTTGTTTATTTCATTTAATAGCCACCGCTTTCGATTTCAATTTCACTTAGCCCACAGAATAACAAAACTGAAGAGCCGCTGGCCAGCGAGGCGTCTCTAGTGAAGCTCAACACGGAACTGAGAAATGTGGCAGCTGTCAACTCGAGTTTCCCCACTTTTCGACTCAATTCGCGCATGCGCCGCTCGCAAAGAGAGAGCGCAAATGTTTTGTTTTGACATTTAACCGTCTAAAAAGTTGTTTAGCCGTCGTCGCTGTTGTTGCGTGGTTGATTTATACGTCATCGTTGTGCTGATGACGTCGGCAGGAGGCAACAAGGACACACCACTCGTGGATGAGTAAGCGCGTAAAATCCTTTGAGGGTATGGCAATTAAAGTTTCAAGACTGAAGAACAAAGAAAGTCGAGGTCGGTTCAGGGGTCAGGTTGCTAAATAAATGATAGTATTCCCTTTGCAATAGAACCCACTTTCAATTTCACCTTTAAGATATACATTTTTATCGATCAGCCCCCCTAAGTATGCCTTGATTTTTATATTTCCCGACAAGTTTACGTTTTTGCCTTAAAGTTAGGCTTTAAAATTTTCAAGTAATTTAAGTGTAAGATGTAGATTTCAAAAAACTTGAACTTTTTAAATGAATGATAATTAAGGAACCAATGGGTTCAGTTTGTTTTATAAAATAAGTTTTAAATGTTGTTAAAGAAATCACGCTATACAAAAACTTTGTTTTAAAAAATCTCTAGTTTTCAATCCTAGATATGCCACTGATTGATAAATATTTTTCTTTTGGATTAGAAAGTAGAAATATTCAATTAGGAAATATAATAAAATGCAAATACAAATTAAAACAAAAAGAAAATTATATTATTTTGATAATTTCGTTTCTTGGCTAACTTTAAATCTTCCAATACTTACTAATTCTCAAAAGTGCAGATCGTAACTATTAAAATTGAATCGAACCAATTAGATTATACAGAGAATTAAAAATTATTTTCTGCTGGCGACTGCAATATTACAAATCACTTCAGAGATGGAATAGGAAAACAAGATTTCCAGCCTGAGACGGCGACCCCGAAAAGAAAACAACCCATACAGTCAACAATAGGCAACTTCATCTAAGGTGAGGTTGTCGTGCTTGGTTTTTCTTGGATTTTCTTGGCTTAAATGTTGTTTGTATTATTTCTGTTGTTGCAGTTGTCTTTGTTGTCGTCGCGTTGTCGCTATCTTTGTGTGTCACAATTTTGCACGCTTCCTCCAACAGAGCGGTTTGGGGATTTCAATTTTGGATTCGGGATGCGGATTGCAGACGAAAAAACTATACCCCTAATAAAAGTCTATCTTTATATCTATAAAAAATCTAATCACTAAATATCTTAGTGATACCATGCAAAAAAAAAAATAAATAAATGTAGTTTTCAATAAATCAATAAAATTAATTCAATATTTGCTTAGATTTAACCGACTAGATCCATTTTCTTTCAGTGTTGGGATTGGAAAATGTTGCCGTTTTTGATCTATGTTGGCATGCGCACTGCGCCCGGCAAACACATACAAACGGGCCAGCAAACAAACAAACATGGCAGAGAAAGAGAAGGACCGACGGACGGACAGACGGACAATGGGGCTCCCCCAGCGACAAGTGCAGTGAAAAGTCTTGCGACTAACAAGTTTTCCCCAGCACCTCCACCCCTCCACTCCGCTATATTTCTTGGCGGCAGGAGACATCGGCTGACTATATAAGCACACATGTGCGATGCGACCACAATTTATGGGCGGCTGGCGTTCAAAATTTGGAATCGACGATGACAACACAACGAACCCAGTACCAGGACCAGGACCCAATCGATGGACGCCCGCAAAAGATTAGAGGCGGCATCTATTTTTGGCTGGCACTGTGCAAAATCCATTAGTTTTCCCTTGACAATGGGCTTGGCTTTTCATGTGATAGGTCAGTGAGAGTGGCGCCCATTAGTTAGTTTGTTTATTGGATATTAAAAAAATTTATATATTCGTCAATTTTTAGTAAATTAAATATACACATTATGTACTTTTAATGAGTTGCTATTTTTTAAAGAGTTTTGATAAAGTTTAGCAATTATAAAACTAAATAAAAAGGTGTAATAAAAATTGACTATATCACTACGATAATAGGTAAATTTATATGTTCTAAACTATAAAACTTTTCCACACTATATTAATAGTAACGATCTACCCGGATGCAGTATAAATCGTCAGTTATGTGTAGAAATATATGTGTAAATAAAATAAATAGTAATAACTTACTCCTTTGCCTCAAAGTTGGCGCTTCCGGCGGTGTGATCTGCTTGAGCTCCTTGCCTTTCCGGATGGACTCCATCAGCTGCTCCCGCGGCGAAGGTTCGCACATGCGCGGCGGCCCCAATTGGCGTTCACTGGCCTGTTGGTTCCGGGAAAATACAGATGCAGAAACAGAAACGGATAGTGAACTTATAATTTTTATTTTAAATGAGAAAAACAATTTGATTCTTTCGGTACAAAAAGAAAATGGTGAAGAGATCAAGACAAACAAAATGGAAGCGACAGGAAGGAAAGCCACGAGATCAATATTTCACACTCTGCAAGCGGCAAATGGGGATTTCGATGATGGGGGATTGCAGTTGGAATTGAGGTTGCTTTCGGCACTGGCGGTGCGGATGAATTTGGAATTCGTTGTGGCAGTGGGATTGGGGGCTTTACACACCTTCTTCAGCGGCGGCCGTGACCTAATGAACTCCAAGATCATGGCGTGGGCATCTTTCTTGACGCGCGGCGGAATATCGCCGTTCACCATCACCTTGCGCAATTGATACTTTCTGTGAAGAGAAATTGGGCTTAGATGCGGTTTCTGATTGGCCATTGTTTTAATATATCAATGGGTAATGATAAAAATTGTGTGTATATTTTGAAGCAATAATGTAAGTAGTATTTTCAGAAATAATTGTTTAATAATAAAGCTAATTTGATATTTGCACATCCACAGATAAAATTAAAATTATTTTTGCAACTGCATTATAAAGTCATAATAAAATTTTTACTTTAAAAGTGCAAGACAATAAAAAGCCTTATAAACAGCTCATTGTTTTTTTTAATATACTAATAAATAGCTAAACTATATTTATAATACAAAATTAATAATAATATTAAATTGGTAAGATGAAAATAAAACTTTTTTAAGCAAATATAAAATATAGTTAAAGGGGTAGTTAATAAAATGAAAAGTTTACTCTTAACAAGTATAATAAAAACAATTGTTATCAATTAAGATATACTATTAAAATCTATCGTAACTGTTACAACCGTAGGAAGCATTAAATAAAACCAACAATCAAACAAAATGAGTCGAAAATGGATTTGCAACCATATTAAAATAATTATATTAATCATGATAACTATTAAAATGTTATATGTTGGCCACTTTCTTGCAGCTTTAAGTGACTAAGTTGTTTAATTTTCCTTGGGTAATACAATGATTAGATCGATAAATTGATACATACTTGGCTCTAATGTCGCCCATGAGTATTTCGTAGGGCGTCAGCTCGTATTCGATGGGTGTGCGCTCGTGGTTGCTCTTCTTCAGCCTCACACCCCTCCGCAGTTCGTCGATCACCTGCACCCAGAAGCGTGCCTGTGGATTGGGAAAGGTGTGGTTAATCAATAGAGACCAAACATCTGGGACGGATCGGAAAGGCTATGGGACAAACACAAACAAACGGAGAACATGCAATGGAACTATGGACCTACTTGCAGTGCCCTCCACAGCTGCAGTTCGTGCTTAAAACAGGAAGAAGAAAAGAGTTGCGGCATTGGGTGAGAGGCGCATTTCACTTTTGCAATTATTTTCATTTAATTAGCCAATAATTTAGACTCCCGCTGTGCGCGGGGCCAATCCATCGGCATGACAAGTTAACTGTGCGTATGAGTAATGTGTGTTGAATGCTGCGCGATGGCAGGAAGACTATTTAGCACACAATGGGGCTAATATGTAACAGTGATCCGCAATTTCACTTTCCATTCGCCGTCTTCCTGTTCACCGTCAATTGGTGGCCATGCATTTTGAGACACCCCATTAAACATGCAAAACGGCGGCGGAAGGTGGAGTGTATCTAGGGTCCGATTTCAGTTGAGCCACAGCTGAAGGCATTAATGGCAGCACATGTTTTGACACCATGTTGCACATGTATGTGTAAGATGCCGCGCCACGCTTCAATTACGCTAACAACAGCAACATTAGACACAGCAGCAACATCAAAACACAGCAGCAGCAGCAAAACACAGCCGCAACATTAACTCACAGAGGCAGCATCAACACACAGAGGCAGCATCAACACACAGCAGCAACATCAACACAGAGCAGCAACATCAGCCCACCTTTGAGTGGCAGCAGCTTCCGCCAAAGTTGGGATGTATCTGTTGCTGTTGAAATACTTTTGCCCATGTGCGTACAACATTGCTATCCAGACTATGGATACGAAAATTAGCATACCAAATCATCGACATCATCAAAGGCAGCTAAGCGAAACACAGACTCAATGTCTGCCGAAAAAGAAAGATTTCCTCGGAAAACCTTTTTTTCCCCCGGCAGCAGCAACACGTTCAAAACCATCAAGAAAAAGTATAAAAAGAAACAGAACCAGTTGAATTTCCGCAATTCCAGCATAATAATACCAAAACAAGAACAATGTAAATTCACTAAAAAAAAGTGTTTTAACAATCAGTTTGCTGTGTGACATTCTGAAGGCTGTTGGATTCACAGAAAACACGAAAAACCGCTGACTAAAGACACACTTCTTGCACTTCTTTGACAGTAGTCAAAAGAGAAAAAGAAATAAAAGAAAAAACGCTCCCTATAAACAACAGACCAAACAAAGGCAGGGAACTCTTATCGAAGAACTAGAAAATGATAAGATGGCTTTTAATCAACCCTCTACAATGGCCTGAAATTACGTTTCGCAAAAACAACAACAAATAGGCACAAAATAAATATACTCAACTCTTTACCAGGTCTTCTTTGCACATATGATATATGGTATATGTCTGGCCAATTAATTGGCCAATTTCAAAGCTGCACCTTTTTTGTTTTATACCCGCCTTTCGGCACATGCAAATTCACAAGTGTAAAATATTTGTGAAGCGAAAAATATTTATGGTCTATTTCTTTATCTGATTGTATTCGTACTGTATTCCACTATAAGCAAATATTATGGCATAATGATGTGTCGTCTGTTCCACACGCAAAGGTTTCTTATTTTTGCGTTTTTTTTTTGCTCGGACATGCAAAGATTGTAGCGAAGAAAAGCCAATCCCAAGCATAGGTACATCATTTACACAAAATACGTGTACAGTGGATTATAATTTTAAAGGATCATTCAATTAATATATCTAACATAAGCCTTTGTTGAGCAATAAACTCCATGATCTTAAAACTACTACCTTTTATCAGTTATTATGATTACTGCTGTAAACTTCAGTAAATAATATTTTTATAAGAGTCTGTTTACTCTCTATGACAAATAAAAAATGATTGAATTAAATCAATTAACAGTTCATATAAATAAAGCCATTCCAGGAATTGTGGTTAATAATTTAAACAAACAAATTATAAACAGAATAATTTACGCACATGCTAATTTTAATCAAGTTTTCAATTGCGATTTCATCATATTGCAAATTAAAAGCTGAAATTATTCATTTTTTTATTATACGAAATCATTGTATTTATTTTAAGTTTACTCTTATTTATATTGTATTATATTGTAATTTTCTTGACTACTCAACCTAATAATAATAATAAATTAATTTTGTGGTGCAAGGATGACAAATACTTTTTGATTAAATTTATTTATAAATGTGAGTCTATTTTGTAACAAGATCTTCTGAATTGACACATTATCTTTAGCTTACCAGCTGTACTACTTCGTAAGGTATGCCAAAAATCGGAAACCATTAGAATTTAAAGAACCCACATATGAAACTCTATTTTACCTCCTTATCAACTATTTCAGAACACACTTTGCCAACTGTTCTTTGACAGTTTCAGGTTTCCATCTGATTGAAAAAATCAAACACACCTCGAACGGTAAAAACCGACTATAGTATAAGTTTTCACGCCACAAAAAAATGGAAGAAAAAACCAAAATAGAAACAAAAACAAGAGCGAATTTCGGTTTGCGTGTCTGGCCAATTTGCGTGTGTGTCTCAATGAGTTTCGGAGGTTGGATGTGGATGTGGATGACGGCGATATAGCGGACCGATGTGATGGTGGCAAACTCCTGTGACGGCCTCGACATATTCGCCAAAGGTCACACCGAACGCCAAACTATATAGATGATATATGCACCCATTAAAATACCTCGCAGAAAATATATGTGTATATGGAGCGGCGTTGAACTCATTAGGATGATGGCCGAAATGAAGGCGACCACCGCGGGCCAATTATTGAAATTAAAAGTGAATTTCATTTGGCAATGCATGAAATAGTTCACTTTTTTATACCACCAAACCCAGAGCGGAAAACCCCGCCACAAATACTCGTGATCTCTGCGATAATGATTATGATGATGATGGCTTATGGCATATGTTTTTGGTTAAAATGCGGCCCGAAGAGGTGCGCCAAACAAATCGTGAGTCGCTAGCCACTGTAGGCCATTAGTGGAGCACCATTACATAACCATAGTATCTTGGAGTTTTTCGAGGGGCGGTGGAGGGGGGCTCTTGAAGAATCTTACCCAGTCGTTGAAGCCCAGCTTCGCCAGTTCTTGTTGCGTGGTGGCCGATGATTCTGAGGCCTTGATCAGCTTCTCAGCACCTGCTATTTGAGGTTATTAATTAATTAGCAGTCTGCTAGTTAGGGATATTGGAGTACTTACCATTGTTCAGGACCTGCTGCAGAAACACACGGAGTTCTATGGTCTCCGTAACGAGGGCTCTGCAAACAGCTTTGTAGTGGTTCTCTGGCAGAGTGGTCTTTATGTGATTTCTGCAGGTCTATAACAGAGTAATGGGATATTTAAAATAATAATTAAATGATGTGTTTACTAAGTGAACCAATGCAAAAACGATTCACAGGAAATAGAGGTAGTTCAGCAAACTTCCTTTGTTGTCCTCCCTTTTTTTTCTTATAATTTCATGATTTGTATATCTTTAAACCACAGCATAATAGTCTTGATACATATTCTGCGGCCTCACCTAAATAACTCTTTTTCAAACAACATTTTGCCAGAATTCTGTGAATACCCCAAAAGATTAATACTATCTGCGGATATCCCGCATACAAAAATTCTACGTACCCAAGGCTAATTACGTTTTACGCCTTTGGCAATTTCCTTTCACTTCTTATTATGATAATCATATCTCGTATATAGACCAACTCAATTTATTCCGCCAAAACAAATCTTATCTAACCGTGCGAGCACAGACATTGGAAAAATGCTAATTTATCCATATTAGTTGCAGATACTTTTCCACTTTTCGATGGTGTGCTAGAAGTCAGGCAAGTGGAAAAAAATCAAGGGGTCCAGTGCTCACTGTTGCCTGACAGCAATGTGTCAATTCTATAAAGTGGCTCATTAGAGAAGAACCACCCAACCCCGCCCCTCGCGGGGCACTCAAACAGAACCGAAGACTCCGGCTCAATCAGCAACGGTGTGAGGTTTGTCACACGCCCCACTGCCAAATCGGGGATCCTCCAGTGGATGGATCGCGATGGGATCGAATGGGATCGAATGGGATGGCAGATGCACTGGCTACCAGAAAATGCGGAAAAATTCCCAACGCGCAATCAAGTGCAGCGGGAAGGCGGTTTCAGTTCAGATTCAGATTTCTGATTTACAGATCTGCGGCTGATTTCCTACGATTACGAAAGCGTTCGGTTTTATGGTTATTTTGGTTATTTAATATCGGTGCAATCGAGCCGCTATTGAAATTGTTTTCCAGTCGGTCGCTCGGGCATCGTAATCTTAGTATCTGACTAGAACCCGGACTGAATCCGGCTTGTTTGCGGTTAGCCGCGATACAGATACGCGCACAACAAGTATCTGCCAGATAATTTCATTTATGCACAGAAAGTAAATTGGTAGTATATGATGATTGAGTTAGTTTTGAAAATTAATATGTAAAGGAAATATCATTATCTAACACTTTGTCATTTAACATCTTATTTTTATGTTCATCAGGTATTAATAGTATGCTGTCCAGAAAGTTACTCAATAATAAGTTACAAAAAAATAGGAATAAAATTTTTTTTTTTTTTTTTCTGTTTAAGCTACAAGTTATACATTTGTATTGGCAGTGAGATTTATCAATAAGTTTGATTATTTCCATGAGTATAGTAAATCTAACCAGTCTATAAGCATAATGATTCTTGTGAAGTAATAGTAAATTTAAGTTATTTACTATTGTAAAGTTTTGTATATGAAAAGACTAAATAAAATGGCTTTAATATTAATAAGCTAATAACTTATCCTACATTTATTTAGCATGAATTGCTTTTAAAATTTCGCAATTTTATATCCATTTAAGGCTTGAACATTTTCTTTTAGTGCAAGCTCACTTTGGTTAACTGTAACGTGAGCCAAACAAGTTTTCCCACCGATGAATATCGATGCATTGGCTCTATATATACGTATTTATATGTCAAAAGAGCTCGCAAATGGACCGTATTGGAGCCTGGTCAAAAGGTCAGATCTTGGCGCACCCCCAAAAAAAAATAAAGAAAAACTCTGACTCACACTTCGATTGGAGTTCGAATTTGCATTGGTTTGTTTTGTTTGGCTGCCTTTTTTTTGGCACATCATGACACGACTCGATTGCAAATGTCAGATACGATCGAGTCGACTCGAATTGGAAACCCACCTCGATTATGTGCTCTAGTTCTTTGGTATCGTTGCGCTCCTCCTCGGAATCGTCGTCCCAGCGCTTGTCGCCCTCGTCGATGCCCTCGTCAATGCAATCATCGTCTGTCTCTGCAATGAATGATATCCAATTAACTTTTAAAAATACGAATTTAATGTTTATTATATTCGTTGCAATTCCATTTAATTTATCTTAAGGTTTACGTGATTCATGACACGCTGCCCGACTTAACCTTCATCTTGTTTTCGCTTGTGGATGGCTGATAAAAGGGGCTTTTTGTTTAAGAAAGACCCCGATAGAATAAAGTGAGCTAAGCTCCGATTGGGGAACCATATTAAGAAACCCCCTGTTTCTAAGCGTGAGTTTATTTATTATTTACTTATCTGAATCACAAAGAAAATTACTGCAAGACTATTTCATAATTATTTAAAAATAATGTAGTACTTCATTTTACTACTTTATATTTTATAGGGGGTTCCAACTTTAAATTAAAACTAGACCGCGTATATTCTTGTATCTCTTCTAATTAAATTTTAAGTACTAATTAAAACTTTTTTGTTCATATTGTAAGTACAAGTTTTAACTGGAATGTATATGAAATATTACATTATTAGTGATATATTATTTATTTGTGATTTGCAAGTAAAACTCATAATAATTTCTGCACTCACCATCTGCCGTCATAAAGTTGAATAGACTCTCCAGCTCCTGCGACATTTGGCACTCTTCGTCCTCCGGCAAATTGTAATCCAATGCGGTGTAGACGATTTCCGCCAATTCACTGATAATCTGCAATAATAAAAAAGCGCACGAAAAATATTAAATATAATAATTAATAGACGTTGAAAAAATGGCATGGAATGCCGACAGCAAAATGCGATTGAAGTGGAGGCCAAAGGTTAAGGCCGACGAGTCATAAAAAAATGTGCAGCTTGTAATGCAGTTAACCCCCTGAAGCCCTGAAATCGAGACGGGGATTCCATATGCCTTGTTCAGGCAGCAGTTCATTAAACTGACACTCTAATTGGAGTTTGAAGTTGACGGAGCTTCGTAGAAAAGCAGAAATATATATATACATATGTATGTAATTGGTGTTTGGGAAGTTGTAGAGTTCAGGTGCAACAACAAGCAGCGACAACTTCAAACAACCAAGTGCAGTGTCAGCTGTTGTTTCACTTTCACTTTGGCGTTGGCGAAAACACTTGCCGAAAAAGCTACAAGGTGTTAAAACACCAAGCCGAAGAAGCCAAAGTCGTTAAATAATAATTCGGTTGCGTTATTTTTAGCCCAGCCACTGAACCCGTCGGCATCGCCACCACCATCTCCACCTCAATCTTAATCTTGATCCAAGTCCAAGCCCAAACGTGGGTCGCCGCCCACACACTTTATGCACATTATGGCACATTTTCCCTACGCGTTCACATGGATTTGTTTTTATCGTGGAAATTAAATGATAAAACATTGTGACAGCTGTGCAGTGGATGCACTGGATACTGCAGTGCCGAGTGGCATTTCCACCAGAGGCTCTGCACCACTGAAGAGGTTGACAACAAATGTCAGTTAAATGCTTCCAGCGTTTTTGCCCCTCAATGGAGTAGGACCCTTACATCATTTGCCGAAGAATTGCAGCTGCAATGTTTGTTGCACTGTTGCAGCAGCAGATTGCAGTTGCCGCTGCAGTCGCAGGCGTTGAAGGTTGAGAGACATAATTAATGGGAAAATTATGGAAGAGGTGGAAGTCAAGTGTGCCCAACTGGTAGATGGCTATACACTATATAGTGTCGAAGGAAATGGAAGCTATCAGTTAATCAAATAAATTTAAAGACTTTAAATACATCTGATAAAACTATAAAATTAGATTTAAATTAAAAAAATTGTTTGCTTCATATCTGTAGTATACAGTACAAAAACAAATAGTAACCAACATTCCTTTCTTCATATAAACGTTAAAAAACCATAACATCTAATACTGATTTATTGATAAATTTTATTGTTCAACGTTATTGGTACAATTTAAAGACATGTACTTAAGACATAATATTTAATGGCGAAATAAATTGAATTTTTATGAATCACAATAAAAATAATATAGAATAATATAATTTTAATTTCTTCAAGAAATCATGAGTGTTTGTTTTATTTATATGCGCAAATAACAGTTTCCGATAAATTCCATTTTTATGAATCACTATAAAAATCACAAAATTCTTAAATAATATAATGTTGACTGTCCAATAAATCACGTATTCTTGTTTTAGTTAAATGCGTAAATAACAGTTTTATACAAAAATCAGTTACAAACTTTAGTCATGGCTTTGGTGAGTACTTAAAATAAATGTGTGCAAATTCTGAGTTTAAATAAAAGAACTATGAATTTTATATCTCACGAAAGAGTTTTTTTTGTAAGCATTTGAATGTGTTTTAGGTCTATAAAAACTAATAGAAGCTGGCATCATTAGGCTCAAAAACAAAGGCCCCATCTACTAATCACCATACTTCGCAATTACGAGCATAATTACAGCCTATATAGGTGGATATCAGGCGACTTCTAAGCAGGAACCATCTTCATCTTCGAGTCCCGTCTTGTGAATTTTCCCATGCAATTAGCTGGGAAGAACAGAACTGGGAACCCAAAAGGGAGTATCTTTAGATTCGGAATGTGCATTGTGGATGGTGAACTGAACTGAACTGAAGTGAAGTAAAGCAAAGTGTAATATGCCAAAGGCGAACCGCCTTCGTGGCTATTTCTTCGTTCCCCCACTTTGCATACATCCAGTATAAATAAATGAGACTGTCTTTGTTGAGGGTGCGCCTGTTCCCAATCCGCCAATTCTCACCGAAAAAAAATAAAACTAAAACAGAAAAAGAAACTACTCCCCATGGCCCGAACTCGGGCTAATATCAAAGTTGAAACCACGGACATGCAATGCGGCAATTATAAGGCAGTTGCCAAAGTTCCAGTTCGGTTTTTGGCCAACCAAGGGTTCTCCACAACAGCACGGCAACACGCCCCCTCACCATCATTGTCAGTCTTGTCAGTTTAACCTTTCGCCTGACCTCCATGTTCGTAGAGTTACTGTACTAGCACTAGCTGTTGGTTCTCATCGGCTACTTTTTTTTTGTTTTCCCTGCCTTCCTTTTTTATTTGGAGCTGTTTGGAAATTGTTTTTCAAACAAGAGCTGTTGAGTCAGGCGACATTAATCGAAGGAGGGGCGGATTGTCTGCCGAGGTGTGAATATTTGAATGCACTTTGGGCCACAGCGGCAATTGGCGAGTGTCCATTCAAGTGCAAAGTACTCGAGTTTATGGCTGTGTAAAACTATCTAAAGGTCAGGCTATAAAGGGAATTAACCTAATTACATTAAAAATTATCGGAATAATTTAAAATTTGAATTCTATTGGAATAAATGTAGAAAACAGATCAACGTCTCTATTCTTCGACTAGAAATATATGAAATGGGTCTATGTTGGCTTAAATGAATTATAATTAAATTTCTAAAAGAAAATTATATGAAAATGCTAGAAATTAATAATTTTATCTCCAAGCATGTTAATTTTTTCTCCACAATATCTTAGATTTCTGTAGAGTTTTTTAAGCTTAATTTCTTGAAAATGTATCTGAGTATTTATAATTATATTGAAAAAGAATTTATTTAGATAAATATTTATATATATATAATATGCCACACAGAATTTGAATTGTTTAAATTAAAAGTCCCTATTTGCTAAGAATAATAACCAAATATAAATGCGTTTTAGTTTCCTAACAATTTACAACCGCTTTTATCAGGGGAACAAACTTTTATCCGGCAAGTCGCGAATTTCAGGTTGTTATATTTATGTGCAGGTCTCTTGCCATCCTCCATTATGAGTACCCATTGTCTCCTAACCATCTGGGGGAATCATAAACTCCTTGTCTGGCCATCTGCCCTCCACTCCTCCTCTTCCTCTCTTCGTGGCCAGTCGTCTTCGCAAGTCGGTCCTAAGTCTGCGATCTCCTACTGTTTTCTGTGGTCTGCCCACTTGACTTGACCATTTCCTAGTCCGCTGGCTTTGGCGTTTTTCAGTCGCTATCAGGATTCACATTTTATGCAATTGTTTCCATAGAAAGAATGCCGTGTATAAATACGTGTATATATAGAGATATATATATAGGCAAACGACAATCGGCAGCGAGCATACAAGTAGCTCTCGCGACTTGGCCACTTCTCCCGGCTATCTGGTCAGTCGTGATCAATGTTGGCAGCAGCAGCAGCAACAGCAACAGCACAGCAGCAACATCGCTGCACCGCAGCAACATCGGCAAAAAATGCGACGCCAATGTAAAGCAGCATAAAACGGTCGGAACTCTTTTTTCTAGGGAGGGATAGGGGGCTAAACAACGTTGACAAGGCGACGCTGGCGACAACGATTAAAATCTCTGGGGAACAGAGCTCACACAAAAAAAACAAAAAGAAAAATAAAAATAAATGTATAAACAAAAAACAGCAGAGAGACAGACAATGAGAACTGGAAATATTTTTGTAAATTACAATGCAATTTTGTGCCACACAAAGGTTCGGTTTTTGCTTCTCGTTCTCCTATTTTTGTTTGCTCGGCCTGGTCAAAACTGTTTCGGGCCCATTAAGCACTTTACATTCGATGTGGCGAGATCAAAGTGGCTGAAATTTATGGCCGCAGATACTGAGATACACGGGTCCAAGCCAGAGACCTGGCCCACAGGCCAGTGGGTTGAAGGAAACCACATTGGCCGGCTGGGAGCAGGTTATACAATTTTAGATTTTCCAGTTTCTTTTGCCAGGCATCCAAGTCGGATGACAGGGGGAGGGGGCAGGTGGGCAAGAGGGGATCACCTGTGATAAGGAGATGGCAGGGGAGGCCAATGAGTATGCATGTTTGACCCAAATTCAAGACGAGCGTCGAACAACCAAGAGAGAATTATGAATATGAGCAGTACACGGGAGGAAATATAGGGTTTTAAATAATTCAAAATTAGGAATATATTTGACTAGCATCAAGAAAAGAAATACTATGGTTCGTCACGAATTTGTATTTTATAAAAATATCATAGAGTATTTCTGGTAATATCAATTTAAGTTAGATTATTAATTTTTTCTAATTTAAACAAGTGTTCTATTGCTCGCCATTCCAACTAACATTACTTAACTTGTGTAGTTTCAATATTATTCCTAACTTTACTTTACAATTTTTAAATAAGATAAAGTAAAAATAGGTTTTGCCTTTTATTAAACTTATTAAATTAAGTAACTATTATTAAAATTGGCAATAAAAACTAGTTTCTTCTTCCTCAAAAACTCTCCCAAAAATCCTTGCTGCAGCATGTCCAATTTTTTACAGTGTGCCACACATGCTGCATGTCATCTAATAATTGCGTTCTCAGCTTATCAGACACGGTGTCGTCTCCGCACTTAAAAAATAGGGGAAAGTGAATGGGAATGAGAATCTCAATGCGAATGCGAAGGCGAGTGTGAATATGAGCGTAGTCTTAAGTGCGGTTCGGTATTTGTAACCGTCTTGAAATAATATTTGCACATTTTGCCAAGACCGCCTGCAATTAGCCGTCGACATGATTATCAGGCAGGTGATTCCCCCGCCCTCAAACCTTTCCCCTTTTCCCACCTTCTTTTTTTTTTGAGGTGCATGTTGCCTTGTGGCTCAGGTGAGTTTGCTTTCGTCGTTTTCTTGTCTTTTGTTGCCACCGACTCGTTTGCCTCGGAAACTTTTGTTTGTTTCGGCATAGACGTGCGAACTGGGTTAATTTTCTATA